AGCTGAAGAGGAAAGACGCTGAGATGAAGAAGCTCTCACACACAGGAGGACCACACAGTGGCATATCCAGGACATTTTTACTGGGTTGACCAAGATGGGACACAAGGCTAGTGTGGGGTGGCCATGGCATAGCAAAGTTTAATCAGTATACGTACGCAGCTGACCACGGTTCGAATCCCGGTCCTTTGCTGCATGTCACATCCCCTCTCTCTCCCATGACTTCCTGTCTCGTAACTGTCAAATAAAGGTGTCTATGTTGGTAAAAATATATATATATAAAAAAAAAAGTCATATTCCATTTCCACCTATCACAGTCCTCAAGTATCTCTGGTTATTTTAACATATCTATTTTTAATCAGTAATTATGTTCAGGATAGGGTACACATTTTCTAAGAGCCATTTCCTTGTAGTGGATTAAAGTCCTCGTCTCTTCACAAGTTAGATTAGAGTAGCAAAATTCAACTGCTCTTAACTCATCCTATTGAATAACATTTATCAGTCATCAGCTCATCATCTGTGTCACCTGTATTGTTACCTGTGTTTGCTTTACTAATTGAGGCGCCATCTTGTGGTTACATAAAAACACAGCAAACCAGGCAACAGAACAAACCAAAATGCTTAAAGATAGGACCTTATTAAAAAGTGTATCTGTAAGCAAAGGATAAACTAAAGCATGACTTACCATCCTGTGCAGGAGGAGCTGACTCCTCTTCATCACTACTGCTGTACTAGGCTGCTGACTTGACTGAGCCTTTTCACTGCTACTGGTAGAAGCTGTGGCTGGCTCTGACTCTTTTCTTTTTTTTGAAGAAGCTCTGAATATCTCTGCTTCTCTTCATAACAATTCTCTTAATATCCCTGGGGGAAATGTAATTCAATCACTCAATCAATCAGTCAGTCAATTCACTTTGAAACAATAGCTATAACTACAAACGTCAAGCAGGATCATTGTCAAATTGGGTTAGAATCAGTGTGCAAAATACAGGTGTTGGTGGGGCTCTGGAACGCCTTAAAAAACAGCTTTGACTCCATTAAAATGTCAAAAAGAAAGGAGGTGTCAACAATGTGCCTAATTATGTCTATTTGTAGATTCTACAAAGGTTTATTTTTACATAACTATCACTCTTACCACTCACTTTTAATAACACAATAAACACATATTGCATCTCCAGCATTTGTGGCATTTGAATGCAATTTGCTCTGCCTCTGCCTATTTAAACGTCTAAAAACATGTGAACTGTGAAGATGAGCTAATTGATACAAACAAAAAGTCCTTTATCTGCAAGAGAAAAATGTCTCTAAACAGCCCTTAAAGCACAGAGCAAATAAATAAGTCACAGCTTGTTCTTGTGTTATAGCTACTTAAATCTAGACTGTCACCCTATATTTCACACACTGGTTGGCCAAAAATAAAACATTAGCTCTATTGAACACACACATCTGCAAAAAACACCCTCAGTCTTCAGTCCAGAAAATAGCGTTTCATATTTCCTTCTATTGCCATGGAGGCTATCACTGCTCATGATGACTGTTGTTTACCTGAACTGATATTTCTCTGCATGAAAATGTAAACTTGTGTTTGTTGAATATTTGTAAAGATGTATTTGTATATTATTGTTTCTCCTCCACTACAGGGGTTTAAGAGAGAAAGCAACAGACTTTCCTTTATTTTGATATTTAGTTCTTACCACTTTGTAAAGAAATCTTTAATGACATTTACATTTATTTCTGTTTTTGTTTTTAACTTACAAATGAGGAATTATGAGGTATAATAAAACTGTAATTGATCATAATCAATAAGGAGATCATTCAATTTTTATTCACAATTAGAAAGTAGGATTATTTGTGATATATCAGTGAGGGCAGTGTTTGATGGTTGTAATGGTGTTAAATGGTTATAAACCTTAAGGGAAAATACTCGGGCACTGCCATGACACCCACTATTTACTGTTAAATTACATTCTGTGGAAGTCATGATAAAGACTCTTATGATGTGTAGCTGAACTGATAACATGAATCGTACCTTTGACACATAGATTCACATGCTCAGCCAGGAATGTGAGCTGTACCAGTCACATGGAAAACCTATAGGTCTGAAAGGTTGAAGGGTTCAGGAAGTTAATTGTGTGTGTTTGCATCAACTATTATTTATAAGATTCATATAAACACTGAGGGCTGCTGGGACCAAGCCCCCTTTGACAATGAAGCCCTGATTCCAGTGAAACAATAAGTATTAAAGTAATCAATAACTTAGAGAACAAACAGGCCAAGGACATCAACATAAAGGACAATGTCAGTACAAAGAAAACACATTCAGTCACACTGCTGTATTTCACTCAAAGAGGATTTAAATTCTGATTCTAACTTCACAAGCTCCTGCAGATTGTTCCAAATTACATTAAATTAAATTACACCAATTTCACTGTTTCAGTATCAACATGATTTTCAAAGACCAACTAGGCTTGGGACCAAGAGAATAATGAAATGTATCTATACTTAAAAAGATCAACATACATACCCTGGAAGTTTACTAAGAAGATAAATAAATCAAATGTAATGTTCACACCTCACAGTGGATGCAGGAATTGTAACTCAGTGTCATTTTCTTTCTTTTCCCATTAAATGAACTTGAAGAGGTTGAGGGGTTAGGTGATGGAGAGGCACATGGATGGGCATTGCACCCCAATGCCCCGCCCCTTGGTGTCCGCCCACTATCCTTTCTTGACATGTCCCAACTAAACATTGAATATGAAATGATGAGTCCTTCCTACACTTAACTGGGCCAAAGAAATAAAGACGTGCTAATCAGTTTTAGAAAGACTGTGGGATCCTGTACTAACCACCATCGAAGGTGTTGGTATGGAGTTGGTGCATGTCTCTCAATACATCGCTCTTGATAACAAAATGTTGCTTCCACAATGCCAAAGGTCCAAGATCAGCCCCTTGTAACACAGTTCAACTGTTCCCCTCAGGTCCAAGATACATGGTTTCCATCATCCATTCTTCCATTCACATGTTAAACAGTAGATCTATTAAACTGTTGTCTGTAGATTGCTTACATTGTTACTTGTACTTACCTTGACCTGGATGCTGAACAACCTCCTGAACTGTAAACTGTGTCTGTCTGTTGGCTGTCCACCACTGTTTAGGTGTGTTTGTGAATTTTGAATGATCCTGGCTCATGTCCAATTTCCCTGGAGGGGACAATAAAGATACTTTGAACTTCTGACGATTAGTATTTCACACCGCGGTTGGCGAGATTGTGGTGTCTGTTAATCAACTATGTTGTATTTTTGTGTTTTGTTTCCTGTTTTTGTACGAGGTGGAGAGATAAGTAACTGTATATAAGAGCTGATGTTTGTCTCATTCAGCAGCTCCTCACAGGAAGACTGAAGTTACAGGCTGACACTGAGAAGGAAGAAGAGAAGATCATTCTGCAGCAGCTCTGCTCGTTCGATAGACTACAGGTCGTCTCTTCCCCGGACGAGTATTACTAACACTGTCTGTCTTTATTAAAGCTAATCATCCCCTTTGGCATCATCTCCACCATGAAGATCCTGACTCTGTCTGCACTTCTTTGTGCCATGATGGCTCTGACTGGAGCCGATGAAGACATTAACTCACTACTGGGTCAAAATGTCCTTCCAGCTCTTCCAGACTCTGAACCTGGGACAGAGGAAACTATTGTTGGTAAGAATATTTTTCTTTAGATTTATATTGATGCTCTCTTGTAATCAGATATATGAGACATGAGTTTTACTGCATGAACAGAGAAAGAGATTGAATTCATTCATAAATACTCAATGAAAATAGCGGACAGTTTCAATCAGTAACGGCTACATCAAACTGTGCAGCTCTTCCAGACACAAAGGACGAAAATTGGACAGACTCATTCATTCCAGCTGGTCAGTGGGTGTTTCTAAAGAATTATACTGAAATGCACTTTGTCATGATGTTTTCCTTTAAATAAGCAGAACTATAGACTGATTATCCACTCTTGTCTGTTTGACTTCAGGAGAGACTGATGATGTCCAGAGGGCCAGATCTTGTCCCAGTGGTTGGACTGCTTTCAACAGTCGCTGTTTCCTTTACGTTCCAAGAGTCCTGAACTGGGCTCAGGCTGAGGTAATTGGGATTGTGTTAATTCAGGGACCCAAACTTCTACACAAAGTTCATTCTGTTCTCTATAGAGAGGAGGCCACGTCTGTAAATGATGCCAATGAACTGTCTCTCTCTCTCTGCAGAGAAACTGTCAGTCCATGGGTGGAAACCTTGCATCTGTACACAGCTTTCAGGAGTACCATGAGATTCAGAGGATGATAGTGAGAGTCAGTCATTACAGCAATCCAGCATGGATTGGAGGGTCTGACGCACAACAGGTAAAATATTCACCGTTATATAATGTGCAACAAATATTTATTAAAACAATCATTTGACTGTTTTATTCATACAATCTTCTGTTCTGTAATGAAGGAACGTTATTGGCTCTGGAGTGACGGCACAAGATTCAGCTATTCTCACTGGTGTCGTGGAGAGCCTAATAATGATCGTGGTCAGCACTGCACACAAATTAATTTTTCAGGTAAATCACATTACTTTCCTTGAGAGCTCAGTGTATGGTTGGTGTAAATGATACAGGATGAATATAAAGAAAAATACAATGAACTGAAAGAATATATCAATCAATTTTTTTTAAATAACAAATAATAATTTATAACAAGGTTTTCAAATTCTTTGGGTTCCTGAAATTATACATGGCATTGATATCATATACCACAAAATCTACAGTGCTGGTACTGCGATTGATTAGTAACTTATTAATGCAGCTTTAACAGCCATGGTGCTGTGAGGACAGTGGTTCCCTGTAACTGTGAGTGGTGCTGTTCAAACAGACAGTATATCCCAGGATAAATGATGTGTCTACGTAATGATGCTTCATTCAACAGGTTCAGCTTTGGGTTTGTGTAGCGCTGTCTCACTGCTGGGTTTTTGGTTTATACAGATCAGAAATGCTGGGATGACTTTTGGTGTGACGGGTCCCTCCCATCAGTCTGTGCCAGGAAGCGCTGACATGAAGAACCAATGAAAAGCACAAACCGATCAATTTGTGCTTGAAAACTCACCTCTCTATACGCCATCCGTCTCATATGTAACCTAAAGGCTTTATTTCTTATTAAACTTCTTTATATATTTTTTCTACTACTGTAATGGTAATGGTCGAGGCAGACTGCCACCCACCTAGAGTCGGGGTCAGTCCGAGGTTTCTTCTTCTTAAAAGGAAGTTTTTCCTTGCCGCTGTCTCCAAGGTCTTGCTCGTGGTGGGAACGGTTGGATCTCTATAAATAATGTTAGAAGGAGTTCGGTCTAGACCTGCTCTATTTGTGTTCTGAGATAACTTCTGTTATGAATATTTGCTTTACAAATAAAATTGAATTGAATTAATGTCATTTAAGAAGCTTAAGTGAGTGAACTGTTCTTTCTTGTCTTGTGTGAAATTAAAAACATTGAAACAAACTGGTCTTTGTTATATTTCCTGTATAATCTTGATGAATTAAATAATAATATACATGATCCTTCTACCTGCTTCCCATCCTACAAACAGATGATGGTATAAGATTTACATCATCCAGACCTCTAATGGATGGACTGAAAGTATCAGACAGCATTTGTTTAATTTAATATAACCACCATCAAAGGTGTTTCCAGAGTGGGGGCTGGGTTGGCAGTGTCACACTGAAAGTACGCTGTTGGTGATTTTCTTTTCTTGTCTTCATTTCCAGACTTAAACCAACAATGAATGTGTCTACGAACAAGTCCTGTGTGTGTAGTACAGTGCCATAGAGCTCCATTGTTCCAAAAACTACTACAAACACATCAATGAGCAACAATCTGCTGCTGAAAATAGTCCCAGACAAATGCACCATAACCTGCTGTTTGATAAAAGAGACCACAGACAGATTGATGATCAGGCTCAGGATGAATTTAGGGGATTAATAATAATAACTTTAAGGACTGTAGCTGTGTATTTTCACTGTATTTTATTTCATTAATAAACATGAATGAAGGTATTTGGCTCTGTGTCATTCTGGTCTCCAGAAATAACGTAATAATACTTATTTATAATAGAAATAACTCCTGTCTGTAACCATTTGATCCCTTGACCTCTGACCCTAAGATACCTGAATGAAGACGGTTCTGTTATATGTGTAATGTTGTCCTATTGTATTTAATATGTCTGTTCTACTGTAGAAATATCCCAAATAAAATCTTCTGGGACCACCACAGCTGTAGATCAACATTTTAAGGTATCAGATAAGAGACGTTCACATCAGAACTTATAATAATAAAGTGTTCTTTAATAATTGTTTACATTCAAAAAACTGTTAAAGTGTAATTTAATATCATCAAAAGATTTTTGTCTCACTTCACATACAGAATATCCAACAGTGTATTTAACAGAGTATGAGACAGCCTCCTGCAGTACAGACCTGTCACCACCTGGTGGCGCTGTGGGGGGGCTGTATAATGAAAGCTGATTCAGTGTTCAGTGCAGCCGTCTGACCACAAGGTGGTGCTGTGGTTAACTTTATCAACTCACCATTTAAACCTCAATGCACATTAATCAATATAATGTAATAACTATAGAAGATATCTTTCAATTAACAAACAAAACCATCAACAGATTCAACTGTTTAATCTCTTAAATAAACAGATTCAACTCTTTAATCTCTTAAATAAACAGATTCAACTCTTTAATCTCTTAAATAAACAGATTCAACTCTTTAATCTCTTTAATAAACAGTAAATATGTGTAAACTAAATGATTTGCAAAATGTATTTTAACTTTTTATGTGCAAAGAAAGTAAAGTTTCTTTAAATAAGCTCTAATTTGATTAATATTTCTGTAAAAATCCACAGTAAAACATCTGTAAATTCACAGATGTTTTACCGTTCATGTAACAACAGCGCCCCCTGTGGTCACACCTCATTCATTACATCACAGGAGGAGATTCAGGGGTTCCTGAGGGAGACTGTGGACCAACCACTGGGAGGTCAGAGGTCAACACACAACAATCATCATCAAGACACAAACTGGTGTTTGTGTGTTTGTGTGTTTGTGTGTGTGTGTTTGTCTTTATTAAATGGTGGGGCCTGTGGGCTGAGAGCACAGTCACAGTATGGGGCCTAAAATTGGGAGGTGGAGTGGAGAGGGGAAGAAGTTTATGTAGCAGTGGCATACAAGAATATCAGCAGAGCAGGGATCTCATATGGATGTTTATTTGGACTCAATGACAAATCTTGGATTTTAGATTGTGACACAAACATTTATATCTTGTATTACAACAATGTCCGGACTCCTGTCTCAGGTCCTCAGTCCTCCAGAGTTGGAGTGTACCTGGATCACAGTGCGGGTATTCTGTCCTTCTACTGTGTCTCTGAGTCCAGACCACATTCACTCAGCCTCTCTATGCTGGACTTTGGCTTTATGTTGGATCCACAGCTGAGTTGTGTAAACTCAAATAGACAGAAGTGATTTCAGGGACAGTGGGTTAAATTCTGTGTTTGATTTCTTCAAATGGTTTTGTTTCCACCGTTGTTTCTGAGAGCTGATTGTTGTGGCGTTTCTTCACTGCACAGAGATCACCTGTCAATCAAACATTGTGCGCAGTACTTTGACATCTTCTCATTAGATGTTCTGTAAATGTTTGAGTGTCTTTAGGTGGCGCTCCTTCCTGTGTCTGTTCAGCCATGGAGGCTATCACTGCTCATGATGACTGCTGTTTACCTGAACTGATATTTCTCTGTGTGAAAATGTAAACTTGTGTTTGTTGAATATTTGTAAAGATGTATTGGCATATTATTGTTTCTCCTCCACTACAGCGGTTTAAGAGAGAAAGCAACAGACTTTCCTTTATTTTGATATTTAGTTCTTACCACTTTGTAAAGAAATCTTTAATGACATTTACATTTATTTCTGTTTTTGTTTTCAATTTACAATTGAGGAATTATGGGGTATAATAAAACTGTAATTGATCATAATCAATAAGGAGATCATTCGTTAGTTATTCACAATTAGAAAGTAGGATTGTTTGTGATATATCAGTGAGGGCAGTGTTTGATGGTTGTAATGGTGTTAAATGGTTATAAACCTTAAGGGAAAATACTCGGGCATTGCCATGACACCCACTATTTACTGTTAAATTACATTCTGTGGAAGTCATGATGAACTGACTCTTATGATGTGTAGCTGAACTGATAACAGAAATCGTACCTTTGACACATAGATTCACATGCTCAGCCAGGAACGTGAGCTGTACCAGTCACATGGAAAACCTATAGGTCTGAAAGGTTGAAGGGTTCAGGAAGTTAATTGTGTGTGTTTGCATCAACTATTATTTATAAGATTCATATAAACACTGAGGGCTGCTGGGACCAAGCCCCCTTTGACAATGAAGCCCTGATTCCAGTGAAACAATAAGTATTAAAGTAATCAATAACTTAGAGAACAAACAGGCCAAGGACATCAACATAAAGGACAATGTCAGTACAAAGAAAACACATTCAGTCACACTGCTGTATTTCACTCAAAGAGGATTTAAATTCCAATTCTAACTTTACAAACTCCTGCAGATTGTTCTAATAGCACTTTATAGCCAATTTCACTGTTTCAGTATCAACATGATTTTCAAAGACCAACTAGTCTTGGGACCAAGAGAATAATCAAATGTATCTATACTTAAAAAGATCAACATACATACCCTGGAAGTTTGCTAAGAAGATAAATAAATCAAATGTAATGTTCACACCTCACAGTGGATGCAGGAATTGTTACTCAGCATCATTTTCTTTCTTTTCCCATTAAATGAACTTGAAGAGGTTGAGGGGTTAGGTGATGGAGAGGCACATGGATGAGCGTCACATGTTAAACAGTAGATCTATTAAACTGTTGTCTGTAGATTGCTTACATTGTTACTTGTACCTACCTTGACCTGGATGCTGAACAACCTCCTGAACTGTAAACTGTGTCTGTCTGTTGTCTGTCCACCACTGTTTAGGTGTGTTTGTGTATTTTGAATGATCCTGGCTCGTGTCCAATTTCCCTGGAAGAGACAATAAAGATACTTTGAACTTTTGACGATTAGTATTTCACATCACGGTTGGCGAGATTGTGGTGTCTGTTAATCAACTATGTTGTGTTTTTGTGTCTTTTTTCCGTTTTTGTACGAGGTGGCAAGATAAGTAACTGTATATAAAGAGCTGATGTTTGTCTCGTTCAGCAGCTCCTCACAGGAAGACTGAAGTTACAGGCTGACACCGAGAAGGAAGAGGGAAGATCATTCTGCAGCAGCTCTGCTCGTTCGATAGACTACAGGGCGTCTCTTCCCCCGGACAAGTATTACTAACACTGTCTGTCTTTATTAAAGCTAATCATCCCCTTTGGCATCATCTCCACCATGAAGATCCTGACTCTGTCTGCACTTCTTTGTGCCATGATAACTCTGACTGGAGCAGCTGGTGAGTATCACTCCGTATGTTAAGTACATTTGTCTATACACAGCAACGAGGGGCGATGAAGACATTAACTCACTACTGGGTCAAAATGTCCTTCCAGCTCTTCCAGACTCTGAGGGTGAACCTGGGACAGAGGAAACTATTGTTGGTAAGAATATTTTTCTTTAGATTTATATTGATGCTCTCTTGTAATCAGATATATGAGACATGAGTTTTACTGCATGAACAGAGAAAGAGATTGAATTCATTCATAAATACTCAATGAAAATAGCGGACAGTTTCAATCAGTAACGGCTACATCAAACTGTGCAGCTCTTCCAGACACAAAGGACGAAAATTGGACAGACTCATTCATTCCAGCTGGTCAGTGGGTGTTTCTCAAGAACTATACTGAAATGCACTTTGTCATGATGTTCTCCTTTAAATAAGCAGAACTATAGACTGATTATCCACTCTTGTCTGTTTGACTTCAGGAGAGACTGATGATGTCCAGAGGGCCAGATCTTGTCCCAGTGGTTGGACTGCTTTCAACAGTCGCTGTTTCCTTTACGTTCCAAGAGTCCTGAACTGGGCTCAGGCTGAGGTAATTGGGATTGTGTTAATTCAGGGACCCAAACTTCTACACAAAGTTCATTCTGTTCTCTATAGAGAGGAGGCCACGTCTGTAAATGATGCCAATGAACTGTCTCTCTCTCTCTGCAGAGAAACTGTCAGTCCATGGGTGGAAACCTTGCATCTGTACACAGCTTTCAGGAGTACCATGAGATTCAGAGGATGATAGTGAGAGTCAGTCATTACAGCAATCCAGCATGGATTGGAGGGTCTGACGCACAACAGGTAAAATATTCACCGTTATA